AGAAAACCTTCGGAAATTATCGTACATCGAATCCATCCATCTCCAGTTCCACACATTGCAGCAAAACCACAAAAGGACCCAACAATCCATCATTATTTCCCAGTGTGAAGATCATCAGCACACCCCTCCAAAAAATACCTCCTATCTCTATCCCACCGTAACACCCAGAAACCCTTCGGAAATCATCGAACATCGAACGTCGAATCCATTCATCTCCAATCAGCGTTGTTTTCCTGGCGCAAGAATCGGTCGGCGAAGCGCGTGCCGCTCGAAAGAGTGGCTTCGAAAGCGGCGGCAGTGCTCGCCGGTGGCGGGGGTTGAGTTTTCCACCACCGTGTCGACCGGTAGCGGCGGGCTACCACCACCATCGCCTCCGACCCAGTCCGTCTCCGATATAAAGTGGTCGCGTGCTTGCAAGCTCAGTCACTCTGTCCCGTGGAGGCACCGATCCTTGCAGCCGCCCCGCGAAAAACAACGCGACTCAGCCGAGACACCAGCCCCCTGGCCCTCCGTCGCTGCGCACGAGGTATTTCAAACGATTTTCCCACGTTTCTCTCTTTGCGCCGACAAGTCGGACGAGCGTGTACGGCGGAGTGCGTGCGTGTGTGCCCAGTGACTTCTCGCGAGAGATTTTTCGGGAAGTAGGTTACCCGCGGCGCTTACCGAACTTTCTGCTTGAGTTCCGTCCCTCTGCTGCTCGAGGGGACTCATTTTGAAACAATTTTCTGTTTGAGTTACGGTATTTGATGTTCAATGTTTAATGTAGCTTACATTTGAGAATTTAATATTTGGTATTTAATGTTGATGCTTAATGTTTAATGTTTCAGACTTGCAAGTGATTAATCACTACTACACAGTTACACTGTTCGATATTTACTTTGCAAAGAATAATTCGATTTGACTTGCAGTATTTGATATTGAATACTTAATATAGCTTACATTTGAAAATTCAATATTTCTTATTTAATATTGATATTTAGTGTTTAACGTTTCAGACTTGCAAGTGATTATTAATCACTACTACACAGTTATATTGTCCTATATTTACTTTGCAAAGTATAATTCAATTTGACTTGCAGTATTTGATATTCCATATTTAATATACTTTACATTTGAAAATTCAATATTCATATCTAATATTGATGTTTAACGTTCAACATTTCAGACTTACAATTAATTATTAATCACTACTGCAAAGTTACATTAACAATCACACTATTGGATATTCACTTAGCAAAGAATAATTCAATTTCACTTGCAGTATTTGATATTCCATATTCAATATACCTTACATTTGAAACTTCAATATTCATATCTAATATTGATGCTTAACGTTTAACATTTCAGACTTGCAAATTCAATATTTTCCTTGTTTCGTTGCTTTCGATTGCTTTTTGGGGTTTGTTGAGTTTACTTCGGCTAGGAGACTTTTGACTTGATTCAGCAGGGTGTTTGGTATTTGATGGTTGGTTGTTGGCATTTGATGTATGTTTGATATTTAAGGTTTAATATTTGACATTTAGTATTTGGTATTGGATTTTTGATATTGAATGTTTGGTATAACGTAGATTTCAAATTCAATATTTCATATCGAACGTTCGATATCTAACGTTTAACATTTGATGCTAAAACATTTCAGACTTACAATTGAATATTGATCACTACCACACAGTTACGTTAACAATCACACTCTTCGATATTTCCTTTGCAGAAAATACTTCAACTTGACTTTCAGTATTTGATATTCAATATACCTTGCACCTAAAAACTCAACATTTCATATCCAATATTGATGTTCAACGTTTAACATTTCAGACTTACAATTCAATATTAATCACCACTACACAATCACATCGTCCGATATTTAATTTCCTAAGAACACCACCCAGAACAATCGAATTTAAAACCATTCGCTTGTTCTCTCTACATCGCAACTTAATTCAATTCAAATTCATATCAACTTACGCCAATGGCAATGCAAAAAAGGCGCGATTCAATCGAAAGAATAATACCCTCGAGGTGCGATATTCAATATCCAATTTTTGGAATTAAATTACCAATAATTCGCGTTCAATGGAACCTTATTTTTCTCATATAACGTTCCAATCAATTCGAAACGACGCGAAAATGGGTCACAGTTTTATCATAATACAAATTTGTAGGAGAAAGAGAATTTTATTTGAAACAGTATAATTATTTCATCGCAGCTCGCAATAAAACACTAACACTTTCTAGAACATTCTTTCATTGCCATGCATTAACTTCAATATTTCGAATATTCTAGATTCATAAAAAAAAGAACATTATTAACATATGGAAAAAATCAATATAATCTAGAATATTCCATTTTGAACATTCATTCAAAACGCGCTCACACACAGTAACGTCATTCATCTATTGCACACACATTCATCACTCAATACATCCATTCCCACAAATTTTATCGCGAAACACAATACAAACGTGCGAACAAACGACGATCTATCGAGAATGGAACACGAAATCGACTATATTTCATCGAAAGTCGAGTATGAAATTGCATTGGCTACGAAATTAAAAGGAATTTCGCTGTCAACCGGTGGTCTTGACGTTAAATTTCCCGGATAATCCTCGACAAACGTCGCACACATTCGCCGACTAACGCTGGTTCGAATATTGGCCGCCATTTTCGCGAAGTTAACTGTGCACACTGTGGCCGCTCGCAGAAGTTCTCAGGCACGCGTCGAACGCCGCGAAAAAAGTTGAAATTGCCTCGAAAACGGCGAAAATGGCGGACACGGGATTACTAATCCCAGTGAACTTTCCTGAACGCGTAATAGATTTAACTTTCCCTTCGCTGAGTCTCTTAAACGTGTTACATGCCGAAAGTAAATAGATTTATAGGGATAAGTTGGCTTGGAAACGTAAGATAATATGTTCCATTTTTCGTACCAAAGAGTTGATAAATAAGTATGTCAGTTTTGAATTATTATGTGGACAGTAGTAATTTGGTAGATAAGAAATATTTTTCGAGAATGTGTTGTTATTTGAATCGAGGAATTCTTGAGAATGTATTAGTGTTTGAGTTTGAGAAGTAGTGAGAATTTTTGATTGTTTGAGTTTGAGAATTCTTGAGAATTTGAAATTATTTGAATTCGAGAATTCTTGAGAATTTGAAATTATTTGAATTCGAGAAGTTCCTACAGTTTAAAATTATTTGAATTCGAGAAGTTCCTACAGTTTAAAATTATTTGAATTCGAGAAGTTCCTACAGTTTAAAATTATTTGAATTCGAGAAGTTCCTACAGTTTAAAATTATTTGAATTCGAGAAGTTCCTACAGTTCATAATTGCTTGAACTCAAAATTATTTACAACAGACAAATTACATATCCACGATAACTTCCTCGTGAATTCATTAAGTCATTCATAGATTGATAAACAGCCGGCAGAAGACCGAATCGTCGCGAGCGCATCCGCTTAATCGGCACGGCGAATAATCCTCGTTCCGTTCCTGTGATAATCTGTTAACCGTTGGAGGGATATTATTATTATCGCAGGTGAAACGACACGGATACGCGGAGCGCGACCGTAGATTATTTCAACGGGGCGTGCTCGTGTTCCGGGCAATTAGCCACGGACCGCAAACTGAAATTGGTTGAAACTGAAACGTATTCGGTCATCGCGGCCGAAAAACCGTTTCCTTCGAGCTCGAAGAAAACTTTCACAGAATATTAACCCTTTGCGGACGAAGATTCTTTGAAATATGCAAAGGCTTCAGCGGGCGAAGCTGAATTACCTATCAATTGCTTAATTAATATAAAAACAGGAAGCTACGTACTGATCTCTTGCTATTCTCTTGATTTCTCAGCAATCTCTTACTGAATTACTTATCAATTGCTTAATTAATATAAAAAGAGGAAACTATACACTGATCTCTTGCTATTCTCTTGATTTCTCAGGAACCTCTTGCTCAATTACTTATCAATTGCTTAATTAATCTAAAAAAAGGAAACTACGTACTGATCTCTTGCTGTTCTCTTGATTTCTCAGCAATCTCTTGCTCAGTTACCTATCATGTGCTTAATTAATATAAAAAGAGGAAACTATACACTGATCTCTTGCTGGATTACTTATCAATTGCGTAATTAATCTTAAAAAAGGAAACTAAGTACTGATCTCTTATTATTCAACTAATTAAATCATTCGTTTGCAACTTAGTATTCAAAATATGAACATTTCATCTCAAGATGTCGACGTTCGTCCGCGAAGGGTTAACATGTCGGTAACATTCAATGTTCGTTGCACAAACTCGAACAGTCGAGTTTCGGCGTGTCGCGCGGCGACGCGATCGAGAGGATCGATATCCGCGCGCGATTTAATCGCGAGACGCCAGAGTTTCGAGGAGCCTCTGGTTCTCCACGTTAGTTTTATTGGTGTGTCGTTGACACAGCGGTCGGTGGAGGGAGGCGGTTTCGTCAGCCGGATCGACAGCTCGATTCTGCTTGATGAACACCCCTGCCGGCTGTCGTCGCCAGAACGACACGCCGTGAAATTTTCGTCCGTCCGCGAAAATGTCCTCGCCGCTGGAGATTAATTAGTGCCACCCTTATAACCGGTCAAACGGCTGTCGAATTCCTTTTTTCTTAGTTTATGGATTCCGATGACGAGTCAATCGGCTGTGTCAACGGAAACGTGAAAGTAGATTAGGAAAAGAGTACGTGGATAATGTGGAAAATTACGTTTTCTGTAGAAGAAAGGTAGGGCTTTCGCTGTAGTTGAGTGGAATAACAAATAGAATATTTATCAAAGCAATAATTTTTAAATACATCGTCGATTTTAAGTCTTTGCACTTGGAAGCTTTTCACTGGAAACGTTCGACACTTTCCAATGATACAGAGATATTATTTGAAAGGAATTAGTGAGAAAACATATGTAAATTAAGAATTATTACAGTTTGTAATTTTTCTGTATCAAATCAAATAATGAGAGCCATTTCTCGAATGCAAAAGATTAAATTGCATTCTCTAAAAAGGGACAAAAATAGCTAGAGCTTCCATCGTACTTATTTTCTTCAATTGCAGACGTGGGCGAAAGCCCTAGGCCTTCTTTCATCCATAGAAAAATGTTTTATGAATTATAACACTTTGTAATTTTGTTATATCAAATCAAATAATGAGAGCCATTTCTCGAGTGCAAAAGATTAAATTGCATTTTCTAAAAAGGGACAAAAATACTTAGGGCTTCCATCGTACTCATTTTCTTCAATTGCAGACATGGGCGAAAGCCCTAGGCCTTCTTTCATCCGTAGAAAAATACAACTCGTGATTCTTTGTCTGCTTAACTATTAAGATACGCTAGGACACGTGTAGTTTTATCAGGAACCATCCTCGAAATCCTGTTTGCATTTCCTCCGTCGGAGCAGAACGGATTACAGCGATAACGAGGCTGCGTCAGGACTCCATTCGTTCTCGTTAAGCGATCGTTGGCCGCCGGCAGCGTCTCTGCACCTCCCGAGAGCCGTAATTAAGAAAAACAGCGTGGCCATTTAATTCAATGATCGTTACGCTGGCTCCTTAACAGGATCCAATGGACCATTCTCGATCTACGAACGATCAATGCAATGCCTGGGTCCCTTTGGACCCGGGCTTACAAGATCTTACTGTCGCTTTCGACCCTTTGCAGACGAATATTCTTTATAGTGTTCGAAACTTTCAGTAAATAAATCTAACGCTTGAATAATAGAGGAATCGAATGTTTCACTGATTAAATTATTCATTTACAACGTAGCATTCCAAAAATGATAGCTTTATCTCGTCAAAATGTCGACGTTGAAACTGTTAATCTTCCGTCATTCGACGTAACTCGCTTATTACGCAAAATTTGCAGTTTTCTTCCAACAGATCTCGAACAAAAATTTGATTTTATATCAAAGATCTCCCAAAATTTCCAAAATCATTATCCAAAGTGCTCAATCTATCATCTCTGACAAACATTATACATTCCAGTTACACGAATAAACAACGAATATTAACAAACTAATTCGAATGTCTCATTTCACTGTCTCCAGACCTCGAAATTCGTGTCCACCTCGAAACTCGTTCGGAGATTCGAAATTTCGTTTCTCCAAAATACCTCCGCGCCTCGATTAACAGTTTACTCTGTCCGGCAGACGCGTTTGGTAAAAAAAAGGCGTATGTAAAAACAAGAAGAGGAAAGCGATCCCTCGTTCGTCGGTGTAAATCCGCTTCCCCCGGCGCGCTCGGTAAACGAAACGCAATCTCGGACGCATAATCAACGAACGAATCAGCCGTTCAGCCGGTTTTACAGCTTCCCGCCGGGAAGATACGGGACTCGTTATTTCCGTGTTGCCACGAGGAACGTTACGTTGCGTCGTTGACGGCGATACGCGCGATCGATGAGCAGATGCTCGATTTTTACGCGAACTCCGCCGAGTTTCAGCTCGACGATGGAGAAACACGCGTTAAGTGAATTCTCCAGGCTTTTTCGTTTTTATTCTTCGTACAGGTTACATATAGATTATTACAATTATGTGGTATCTTAGTTTTAACCCTTTGCGGACGAAGATTCTCTGAACTATAGAAAACTTGTAGATTCTGCCAAATCACACATCGAATGCCTAAATAATATGGAATAAGGACATTATGCACTGGTTTCTTGCTGTTTGAGCAGGTGAATCATTTGTTTGCAACTTAGTATTACGAACATTGAAGTTTGATCTCGGTAAAGTGTTATGAAAATAAAAATTATGGTTTTATGTGTAACTGTGTTGAATATTGTATTGTTTAGGTCTCGGTTAATATTATATATTTTACATATAATATCGTAACTCTCTGAGGCACGATTTTAAGAATTCACCAGAAAATTCTCCAACCTTAATCACACAGTCCCTAGTTTACTAATGCGTTTGCTAATGCCAATTTGGGTGACGTGGCAGTGTTAAATTCCACAGTTTACAGGTTAAGGAGAAATCGTACATAAATGTTATGACTCGTAATGCACTGACATGTGAAATATTCAAATAAAGCATCTTTCTTTCGAGTCATAACATTAAATATTATACTTCATAATTTTCCTGTACAGTGAGCTGCAAGGAGTTGAAAGTTAGTCTCTCTTAATTAAGCTCTGACAATCGCTTTTTCGCTTAGAATTAAAGGTTGCGAGTCTACAATACGAAATTCGTAATTCAGTGCCGTGTAGCAGGGAACACACGAGCCCTACAGCGAGGATTTCCTCTTCTCGGCAGCTTCCCTCGCGTGAGAACGGCGCAGCTAGGTCTCTCTTGAAAAAGAATATTTATCTTGAGGAAGAAGTGGCACACGAGTTCGCATAATAACGCTCGGACACTGGATTTACATGTTTTGAATCGGCAATCCTGCAATTGGAATGAAATCAAATTTCCCTTCCCGTGTTAATTGAATGTTCTAAAAGTCGCGAGGGAAGTGCTTCGAATCTTTATGAAACGAGCGTAAATATTCAAAAATCTCTAATTTCTCGGCATTCAGAAAGATATTACCTTGATTTAAATATTTAAAAGTTTCAGTCAAGTCTGTACTTTTTTAGGATTAACATTAATATCAATAATACGTGAATAGTTGATAGAATCTTTGAATCGGCAATTCTAGATTTCAAATGAAATCAATTTTCCCTTCCCATGCTAATTATTCTAAAATTCACGAGAGAAATGCTTCCGTTAAATATTTAACTGTTTCAGTCTCTTTCGAATCTTTATAAATCACGAACATTAATAAAAAATCTCTAATTTCTCAATATTCGGAAACATATTGCCTCGATTTAAATACTTTTTCATACCATTTTAAATACTATACTTTTTCGAGGTCAATATTAATATCAATACGTGAATAATATCAATCTTTGAATCGGCAATTCTAGATTTATTTGAATATTCTTTTTAATTAATTATTAGTACTTTCTAATTAATTATTATTAATTGAATATTCTAAAAGCAAATATTCAAAAATCTCTAATTTCTCAACAATCATAAATACATTGCCTCGATTCAAACATTTAAAAATCTCAGTCGCGTTTACGCTGTCTTGGAATAAACAATTATCTCAAAAACACATGAATATTGTTAAAAACATTTTCAAGAAACGTCACTGAAATCTATTCACTGTAATCCCAAAATTCGATGAAAGTTAACGAGCAATTGGTACGAAGCACAGAGACCGAATCGGACGTTTCAATGGACTGATCGATCGATGGCATCTGGTTTCAGATTAAAAGGATCATGTCGTCGCTACGAGTCGCCGTTCTCATCGCCGCGGTCCTGGTGGTGCTGATCGACTGGTCCTCGGCGCTTCCAACCGCCGATAAAGATCGACTCTTGAACGAGGTAGACGTAAGTAACGAAACGCTTGAGCCTGATGCTTCCAGTAGAATGGGAACGTATTGGGTCAGCCACAGAGTAACCCAGCATTTTTCCTTCGCTTCTCGTTAAAGTTGAAAGGGGAGTTTCGTGCGCTTGAAATTTCGAGTCATCACTATAATTTATTTTATTTAGTAACATTCTTTCTGCAATTGTTATCATTTACTCATTAATTCTTTAAGTCTTTATTCGTTAATTTAGGAAAATTGCATTTTTAATTTTAGTTGTCTACTAGTTCAGTTATACTAAGAATTTTTTACTTGAATTTATATTATTATATACATTATTTATCAAAAAGCTTGATAGATTTGGAACTTGAAATCGTCACTATAATTTACTGTCAGTAATATTATTCTTATAACTTTTCTCTTCCATCTCAGTTTTTGTTCTTTCATTCAAAAAACCAACATTCCTAAGCAATTCTAGTTGTCTACTAGTTCAGTTATACTAGAAATTGTTTACTTGAATTTATATTATTATTATATACATTATTTATCAAAAAGCTTGATAGTTACTGTCAGTAATATTATTCTTATAACTTTCAATTTCTCTTCCATCCCAGTTTTTGTTAATTCACTCAAAAAACCAACGTCACTAATTCTAGTGATCTAGTTCGATTACACTATCGATCCACTTGAATTTATATCATCATCCCACACATTATTTCTCAAGAAACTCCCCTATCATCAAACATCGTTCACCAGCAGCTTGAATCGCTTCTGAATCCTCTACTCTCGCTACTTCCTACGAATGCGACAAAATCGTCGCAAACATCACGAATCTATCCTCAACGAAGCCAAACGCGAAACCGGCAGAAATTAAACATCAGCCTTTAAAATTCCGAAGACACAGTATACCCCGGAGACAGCGAAGCCGACAGATAATTGCCGTTTCCCGCATTTCCCATGGGAATTCGATCATGGTTGAACAACCGCTCCGGCAAGGTTCCCCATGCTTCGTCGGCATTCAACGAAATCGCCCCCGCGCCGAGTGAAAAACCGTCCGCGTCGCGGTTAGTAACGGAAACCATGGGAGAAAAATTAGCGAGACGGCTGGAAAGGGGCGCAGCTGTCTCGTTAGAAGTAGCAGGCCGCCCCGCGACACTCGACCGCCGACAAATGGGCCTCGTTACCGTCTCGCCAACCGTTGGCCCCGATTTTTTCGACCAAGAGAACGGCCGGGCACGTCTTGAACTCGTTTCGATCGCGAACAGGAAGAACGCTGCCTCGGAGAACTCGCTGAACGCGCGACCAGCCGATAAGACAACTTATCTAACCGAGACCGCCCAACTAGAACAGCTGGTCTTGATCTAGATTTCGAATGAACCGTTTACTTCGTTACAGGAACCTCCTATAATTGTGGTATTAATGGAGTTTAGATATGTTTTACTTGGAAAAAGCATAGGAATAAATAATTGAATAAAATACAGATAAATATAAACGGTGTAGTTCGCAGTGTACAAGTCTTGGTTAGTTATTTAACATTGAGAAATTAACAACTTTTCTCCACGAAGAATGAAACTGATCAATCCTTAACGCCTTCATAGCATTCATTTCCATTGCGATGAAAAATTACATGAATGTTAACATTTATATTTATAGGACACATTGTTATGAATTTCATTCTATATAGTCCTTTTCAAATTATTATGCACTTTAACTCTTGGAGTACTGCATTTGAATTTTTCCTATTGTGGTATTGATGGAAATGAAATACGTTTATTTTGAAAAAAACATAAGAATTTTCTATCGTCCGAAAACTCAAGACTGAGGTCGCGAAATATTGAGTTAATTCCTGAAACCGTCCACGCGACAAACGCGTTCTTCCCTTGTCTGACCAGTCGCGTGCTTGTTCCACTTGCAACCGTTGCCTCGGTGCACGGATAAACGATGGGACGTTGTTTTAGTGTTAACTCTTTGACATTAAGATTGACTACCAGGAACAACGTCAGCGATTTATGCATCACTTATTTTGTAGCAAATATAAACAGGAACAATTAAGAATCATTTGGTAACAATTCATAGGTTACACTGTTACCTAGTTATTCACGCTGTTACACATTTTCATTCGAATTATAATTGTTTCCAAGTAATTGTGAAGATCAAATCATCACACCACTGTGGCAGTCAACGTTCCCTTGTAACACAGGAAAACACTATTACAAATAATTACTAATCTTTCGATTTTCCAGTGCTCATCACACTATTATCTAGCTTCTCTAAATATTCCAACTCAATATCAATTTTCCTATTGCAATTGTTTCCAAGCAATTCCACCCAACGTCTTAATTTATACGTCATTTCTTCCTGAGTCACTTTCAAAGGATACCGTTTATATCTCGTCAAATGACACTGCGTATTTTTACTAAAAAACTTTTAGACTACAAAGGGCTAAACCAGCGAATGAAGTTCAAAGGACAATATCACTTTCTCAGCGAAATCCAGTGTCTCCACATATTTCGCTTCGAAGGAGCTTCGAAGGAGCTTCCTTCATTGTCGAGCACAATAACTGCAATTCTCCTGTTCTATTCTTCCGTGCTATTCAGATTCCACTGCAATTAACGTCTAATTATATTCTTTCTTCCCGAGAGCATTCAGCGGATTCTTTCCGCTTCTTTCCGTTGCGTCAGTAATCGATCGACGCGTGCCGCGGTTTAAGACAGCGTCCGCTCCCGCCGGCTCGGATATTAATTCATCCGACAATTAATTAGCGGATTGGCGACATCATCCGTAGCTGAACCTCATTTCGATCCAGCTTGCGTCACGGCAGCTAACTGTGTTCCTTCCTGCGAAGCGGACGCTCGGAACAGCTTCGGAAAACTGTCTAAACGCTGACGCGTTGACTGCCGCGTGATTTTGCCGAGACAATGTAACGTCAACTTGTGCCATTGTGGGGGGATTGCCTTTTATTCTGTATATCTTTTCTTTTGTTGTTTAGTAAGTCTTGAAGTTTTCAAGTCTTGAAGGGATTATTTGCAATCCATGAAATACGGTTCTTGTTTTTACTAAACACAATTTCTAACCGAATTCGAAACCTTTTAGTTGGAAATATAATATTTAATATTCTATTAATATTAATATTCTCTAATTAATATTCTCTCATCTCTGATCCTTTCGATCACTAATTTTCTATTCGCCAGTATCAAGTAACCAATCAAAACTTTCAATCGAAAAGACACCGTTCCACTATGCATCAATCATCTCCCAACTCTACTTACATATTCCCTAATTCCTAACACTTTCAATCGCTAATTTACTATTCGCCAATATCAGGTAACCAATCAAAACCTTCAATCAAAAAAACATCAATCATCTCCCAACTCTACATTCCTAATTCATCAATACAATCGCAAGTAGCCCATCGAAACCATAAAACAATGAACTAGAAATACTCCACTCCACTACACATCAGTCATCTCCCACCTGCACCTCCAACGCAACAAACAAACGCTCAAACCCATCGCTACTTAGGAAACACATTCCCAAACGAGTCCGCTCGCGTATAGAGACCTTCAGCTATCTATATACCCGAGCATTCCGTATTGCGGCCACGCGCGGCGCGACAAATGGAAGACACTTCCTTCCTCGCCTTCTTTTAATATGGCGGCCGTTAGCGTCAGCCTGTCGGCGTCCCCTGACGTTCAGTCGATTCGCAGGGGACACTTCGTGTCCCTAAAACGGAAAAAAAGGGAAACCGGAGAGGCAGATACGTTCGTCGACGTCTGTTTTCGTAGCGGGAGCGTAAGGGAACGCGTCGGATAGAATTTTAATGCGGGGATCGGCCGAAGTTTCGGGTGAATGGGGCTCTTGCGGGAACCGGAGTTTGTTTCTGACTTGCAAGTATTTCGGGGTAGATGCCGAGATACTGGCATGCCCTGAGTCATGCGTTTGACATTTCAAGATGTCGCAGTTGGAAGTTTATACAATCGACGTGTCTGTGGACAGATGTTGTTCGGGATAATCCTCTTGACGACATGTTTCAAGCTTGTATTGATTATTTTTAGTGGTAGTTATTGCTTATTCGAGTATTTACTACGTAATTTTACAATTCCAAAAGGAAGAGACACTTATATTGATTATTGTTAGTGTTAGTTATTGCTCATTCAGATATTTACTATGTAATTTTACAACTTCGAAAGGAATAAAGACTGACTATCATATATGTAGGAAAAAATTATGGGGAATAATCCTCTTGATGACATGTTTCAAGCTTATATTGATTATTGTTAGCGTTAGTTATTGCTTATTCAGATACTACACAATTTTACAACTCCAAAAGGAATAGACTGTCTATTATATATCTAGGAAAAAATTATTCGGAATAATTCCTTTGAAATGTTCCAACATAATATTGATTATTGTTAGTGTTGATGTTATTATCGATTATTGTTATTATATATATGTAGGAAAAAATTATTCGAAATAATTCCTTTGACATGTTTCAAAGTTATACTGATTATTGTTAGTGTTACTTATTGCTCACATAGATATTTATCACATAATTTTATATGTAACTCCAAAAGAAAGAGAGACTTTCTACTATATGTACAGAAAATTACTCAGAATGACGTTCTTCATGATATATTTCAGTAAAGGAGTCATTCATCTAGACATTTGCTTGTTAATTCAAACGAAGCCTCGACTTCTCCAGTGAAGATCCGAATATTTAGTGAACCTTGATTGAGTTTCAACGTGAAATTCTTTGAAACTCAGGTTTCAGTTTATCTTATAAATATAAGATATCTGGATGTTTGAGAGATATTATGAAAGCTTGTGAATATTCCGAGGAGATAATAAGAGATTATGCTTGAAGGTTCCTTAGAATCTCTGTTTGCAAGGGATTGTATCGAATTTGCAACTGATAATTAATTTACAATGCGCTTGAAAGCGCAGAGCTAAGTATGGCAAGAAGTTCAGTTTGCTTGCCGAAGGTTTTCCTTTTATTATGGCAGAATTCGTAACAGGATAAAGAAT